GAATCTAGCCTTTAATTTTTAAATCTTTAACTCTTAGTGGGTTTTAGTTTTTCATTTTTTGCTTTTGATTTGTATATCCAAACCTTCATTACTCGTACCTACAGAATCTAAATAATACACCAAATCAAACTTAAAAGCATTAATTTTTGTATTATTTAATGACGCAAGAAGATAACAAATGTATCATATCACGTACTCCTTCATACTCTTTAAACGCGTGTCCTTTATCAGTCTCAAACGTATAAAGATTTCTCTCTAAATAAACACATAATTTGTCTTATAAGATTGTTACTTTATAACTTGTAACAATATATTTATTTAAATACTTATTAGTGATAAAATTATATAACGAAAAAGCGGTATAGGTCTGGCAAAACAACGAATTTAAGCTCGGCCATGCTCCCTTCTTTTGGTTGATTTCACTTACTGGTGGCAGTATATATTCCTAAGAGTAGTATAATTCCAAGTTCATTCCATCGTTTATTTCATCTGTGAAATGAATACGTATAAGTAAATTAAAACATATAATTAAAGAATAATTCATCATACTTACAATCTTCCAAAGTAAGATGATTCTTGTAAATTGTATACCTGTACACATAGGAAATAATTATTTGTAAAGAAAAAAATAAGTACAAAAACAAGAGAATGTTAGTAAAATTTCAAGCAAAAAAATATAAATACAGCGCTTGATTCAAAATATCAAGAATTTAAAGATTCGTTAAAATCAGAAATCAGCTTTAAAAAGAGGATTTAATTCGTCGAGGTAAGACATGGTAGCAGTTAAATAATAGTCACTAAATCAAGCACTGACTAATATTTGTCCTTACCATTTTTTTAAAACGATTTTTGAAGCATCAGTACCGGTTTGAGCAGCGATCAATTTTTTTAGTTCTCCAACTGTATCAGAAGGGCTACGGAAAGTTTAAAGGCGTTACAATAAGAAGCATTTTGAATTGTTTCAAAGAACGAAAATAACACTTACTTGCACTTTACGCGAACCTTTTTGCCCAGCCGATCGTTACAAATGATTTCAATCATTTTTAAAAAAGTTTAACGCTAAAAATTCTATCTCCATCGTTTTTATCCGATAGACATTGTACGCCGGACATTGTCCAACGGACGCAGATGCTGTCCAACGTCCGTGTCCAATGTCCGTACCCGAACTGTCCAAGGAGGAAATTTGTTTGACTGGCTGATGTAAATCTCTCGAGTGCATTTAAAATAATTTCTAATAATCTCTAATTTTCAAGTACTTTTTCAAAACAGAACGTTTCGTTTAAGAACTTTATGATGTTATATTTAAAATAGACTTTAATTTGAATAAGTACACTCCCCTGAACTTCCCTAGGATCGCCAACAAAATACGAACAAATTTTTTCGATCACGTGAAAAATTATCCAATGACAAATCACGCCTTGGTGTAACGTAACACGATCAGGAAGATTCAAAAAGCCGCATGAATTTCGAGGTCATAGGCAGAAATTCGTTTGATTGGCTAGCTTCGTAGATCAATTTGTAGATCTACATGTGATTATTAGCCAATCAA